ATGTGGTGGAAGTTGACCCTGTGTAAATGTGAGCCATGGCCTCAAGAAGCTTTGCTCACTTTCACTCACTCTCCAGGGACCCCTGGCACCACCACCATAGGAGCGAGCCTGGGCTAACCTGTTAGAGCATGAGAGACCTCGTGGAGCAGAAACGAGCTGTCCCAGATGAGACATTTAGACCAGCCAGTCTCTGCCAGTATCAGCCAGGCTGACCTAGATCGGCTGAGTGTATCCCAAACTGCCAGGCCAGGATCACAGTCTAAATAAGTGGCTGTTGTTGAAACACTCAATTTTAAGTCACTCAATTTAGAATTGTTCATTAAACAGCAAGAGCTAACTGATACACAAAGCATGAATAGATAATGGACTCCAGTGCTCAGGGAACTTCCCCTGTGTTGGTTTCACCTTTCCTAGTACAATTAGAGGCTAATTTTTTTTTTTTTAAGTTTTGGTAAAATGTACCCATTTTAAAGTGTCCAGTTCAGTAGTGTTAAGTATATTCACACTGTTGGGCAAACCACTGGAATCCTTTTCATCTTCACGAACAGAAACTCCACACCCATTAAACAACCACTCCCCACCACCCCTCCACCCAGCCCCGGCAACCATCATTCTACTTCCTGTCTCTATGAGTTTGACTATTTTAGACCCTCTTATAAGTGAAATCATGCAATATTTGTCCTTCTGTGAGTTTCACCTAGCATAATGTCCTTAAGGTTCACCCACATGGCAGCATGCCTCAGGATTTCCCTCCTTTTTAAGGCTGGCTAATATTCCACTGTATGTAGATACCTCATACTGTTTAACATTCATCCTTTGATGCACACTTGGGTTGCTGCCACCATTTTGCTATTGTAAACAATGCTGCTATAGGCACTTATTTAGACTGCGATTCTGGTTTGGCAGTTTGGGCTACATTCAGCAGATCTAGGTCAGGCCTGGCTGATATTGGCAGAGACTGGCTGGTCTAAATGTCTCATCTGGGACAGCTCATTTCTCCTCCACGCAGTCTCTCATGCTCCAACAGGCTAGCCCAGGCTCGTTCCTATGGTAGTGGTGCCAGGGGTTCCTGGAGAGTGAGTGAAAGAGAGCAAAGCTTCTTGAGGCCATGGCTCACGTTCAGTTCTCACCCCCGAGTTACGGACCAGATATCCCCTCTCGCGACCCGTCTCGAACCCCGTTCATTCTAAGTGGTTAGTAGAAAATGGCTCTGTGGATGCAGCAGCAATGGGCATGAGGGAATGGGGACTTGAGGAGGCTCTGCCTGGGGCTGGATGCTTTGCCTAGAGGAGAGTAAAGCCACAAACAGAACCAAGGCTGGAGATGAAGTTGCAGTCAAACTTCTGCATATTTTTCACCAAACGGCATAAGTTATTTGTCAGAGACTAATGGGCTCGTTCCGGCTGGACTACAAGGGCTGTGTGAGATGGTAATAAAGAGGAAGAGATGTCAATATTAAAAGGCAAAGAATTTCAGTGGCTTTGCCGCAGAGAAGTCCATTAAATCAGAGCCTTGAGAAAGGTTGTGTGGCCAAATCATTTTTTTCAGAGCTCAAGTAAGAACCCAGCTAGGTGATAAATGCTTCCCATCCCATTGGTATGTATGACACATATTTGATAAAGGACCTGAAAAAATTATAAACTCAGAGCAGTTGTGAAATATACTGAGAAGGCCCAGCGAAGACCGTGTCAGGCAGGCCCATAGGGCAATTCATCCAGCAGCAGTGAGGCCGACGCATGCTGACACTGTGGGGACAAATGGAGGCTTTACGCAAACAGAGCATCCCGCTGCTGCTCCACGCGCCTCCCGAGCGGAATGTTGCCTTCCCTCCCCCGTCTGATCAGATATGCATTTCTTCCCCTTCTTCTTTTCCAAAGAAGAATTGGCCTCAGAATGAACCTTGGAGGCCAAGAGCAGGCTCCAGCTTCCAGGTGAGACAGAATGAAACCACCTGTGGGCGGTACCTGTGGATCCCTCATCCAGCCTGAGTCGGACGTGTGACACCTGAGGCCCCACGCAGGCAAATCCTCCTAGGAACCGTGAAACACTCTGACTTCTAGCCTGGACTTAGGGTTTTAGTGAGGAGCCCTTCTGGCTTTCCTGTTGTCCAAATGGGAATTTCTGCCATTTGTCTAAAAGGGAGCCAAAGTCCTAGGAACAGTCACAACCTCTCCCACTAGCCTGCCGTTTCCAAACTGATGACACTGGATGACAAGGCCTATTTACTGAGCAGTGATAGCTGGCCCCAGAGGTCCCCTCTGTGCCTACAGCCCCTGACCCAGGGCTGTACACCCGTGGGTGTGTGTGGGACTGAAGACTGCCTTCCAGCTGGAACATTCTCATGTCCTCTAAGATGATAGAAAATTCACTTCTATTTTTCTCCATAGCATTTTTTGAAATCATCATAAAACTAACAGAAATATTCCCTTCTCTTTCCCTGGGTTTGTGCCCTTGACCCTTAGGTCCAAGGACTGAACAGAGGCAGCTGCCAGCTTGGGCCGTAGGTAGTGCGACTGGGAGACCTAGATCTAGTCACAGATTCACCTCAATCCTCCTGTGACCTTCAGTGGGAGCTCTTTCTTCATCTAGGGTCCACCAGACCAATGACTGCCTTGATCCCTTACTTCCAAACTCCGTACCGAGGGCTCCTGCAGGCTTCTATGACCTGACCTGACCTGTGCTCACAGCTTCATCTTCTATCATGTTCCACACATCCCCCACCTCTAAGTTCACACCCAGTTCATCCTGTTCCTTCACTTTGAATGTTTCTCTTTCTGCCTTGGCCAAGGTTTCTCCTAAACTTGCTTCCTAGGGTCTCATCCATTCCTTAAGCCTCACCCTATTATTATTATTATTTTGTAGAGACAGGGTCTCACCATGTTGCTCAGGCTGGTCTCAAACTCCTGACCTCAAGTGATTCTCCTGGCTCGGCTTCTCAAAGCATTGGGATTACAGGTGTGAGCCACCATGCCTGGCTGTAAGCCTCATTTAAACCACCATGCCTGGCTGTAAGCCTCGCTTAAAATCCCATCCTCCAAAAATTCTTACAGAATTCCCCAGTTGCCATTAACTTCACCCTCTCCTGTGGTCCCATGAGACCTGGTACCTTCATTGGAGTAGAGACCTTTGGCTGCCTTATTACGGAGGAATGTCTGTCTGTCTGTCCATCTCCTTTCTAGTTTGTGATCTTCTGAAGGGCTTGTCTCTCTGGCCCCCTGAACACCTGGCACCATGTTTTGCACACAAAGTTCCTTTCTGATTGGAATTCATTGTGGGTTACAGACCACATGCAGATATGTGCTAGGGGGTTAGATGACATTCCCTCAAATGTGATCCACTGGAACTATTTGAAATACCACAGTTGTGTGGAATCGGATGGACAGAATGTAAAAGTCAAGCCCCTCTAACTTCAGGCAACATTGGTGTTAATAACGGCAATAACTCTGCAATTTGTATGCAATCTACAGTTGCTAAAGCATTGGCACATTAATTATTTAGGTCCTCCTTGGGGAGAGATTTAATTATCTGTTCAGCTCCAATGGCTTCAAAAAGCCTTAAATGGTCTTCCTGGGAAGAAGTGACCACCCCAGCAGCTGCCGAACACAGGTGCAGCCTGGAGCCCTTGAGGCCACTCTGCAGAACAGGGTTCTCTCCAGGTTTTGGGTCCTAGCTGCTTGGATCATAAGATCTACCCCCCAACCGCCCCCCCACAAAAAGCCAGAAACAGATCATCTTCCTGGACAACTCGTGCCTTGTGGGCTCTGAGTAGGAGTCAAAGGGTACGGTCTCTTGTTTAGGAAGGAATGGAGGAGGACAGGGGGCAGAGTGTCAGGATCCCATCCCCAGCCTAAGGAACCTGGCCAGAGGGTGGGCACTGCAGAGGTGGGGGTGGGTCCCAAGCTAAGCAGGGAAGGCCATGGGCAAATTCTGTGGCTGCCGCTGGAGCAAGTGCCTGGTTTGGTTGACACTAGCAGCACATAGTCCCTCCTGCCTCCAGCAAAAAGGCTGCCGCTTGGCTCCTTCCCCTGCTTGGAGGATGGAGGCCAAGGGATGATGGGAATATTCCGAGCAGGAGAGGAGGAACATATCATGGGGCGAGGGCAGGGCTGAGAGACCTTGGGAGAAGGCCAGAGCTCGGGAGACTTGGGTGAGAAATAGGGTCAAGGCCAGTAGTGTGAAGAGTTCTAGAGTGGCCAGAGCTGGAGGTGGAGGGGACTTTGTGTGGGGAATTCAACATCCAGGGAAGTCAAGGCAGGACCTGGAAGAGCTCTGTGGGGCCTGGAAGCCTGAAGGTGGGCTGGGGGAGGGCCAGGTGAGGGGCCAAGGCAGATGGGAGCAGACAGAGGGGCAGGCATTTAGGGGCAGGGTGGCCCTACCATCCTTTTGTGAGGTAGCTGGCCCCACCAGGGGCTAGAACTTGTTACCAGGAAGCGGGGTATCCTGAGGTGCCTTGCTCCTCAGGGCCAGAAGAGGAAGAGACTTGAATCTGGCCTCAGAAACTGAGCTGAATCCAATGTCTGGGGTGGGGGTGAGGGTGGGTGGGTCTCACTCCTCCCCTGTACTCATAGCCTTCCATGTCTTCATGTGGAAGAACTGTGTTCTGTCTACAGCATTATTTATTTAGAGGTACTGCTTCTTTTCCATTGGAGGGTGGGCTCTTGGAAGATGGGGTGGTTCTTGGCTGGGGGGATTGAAGAAGCCAGGATAGATAGTTGGGGCCAAATGCAAGAGCCAAGTTCAGCACCTTGGAGAGCTCTGAGTGCCCTGGGGTCAGGCCAGAATGCCAGGGAGCTCTATAGAGGTTAGAGGGTGCCCTGGAGCAGCTGACGACGTTCACCGCTGAGTGGGGCTGGGGCCCTGACATCCTCCTTCAGAGGCAGACTCAGACCCCGAGTTCTGGGAACCTCAGATGGCTTGTGTCTGTTTGGCCCCTTCGTTTATTCATTAAACTGCTGTTTCCTGTGTGCCGGGCACTGGCGGGGGGAGAAGGGGGTGCTGGGGTCACGTGGAAATCGGCACGTGCGCAGAGCTGGGGGAGCTCACAGTTTAACGGGAGACACACTCACAGAGCATGTGTCTGCCTGGAATGCCCTGCAAGAGGAGTCTGACTGGGGCAAGTGCTGGGCGGATGTGGCACCGAGGAGGGGATGGCTGGTTCTACCCGACGGAGCTGAGGAGTGTGTCCACAGGGAAGGTGACAGTCAAGGGAAGACTCAAAAGGTGAGCAGGAGCGCCCCAGCTAGCTGCAGGGGCGAGATGTGAACACACAGGCTGAGGTGTGAGAGGGCCACGTTAGGGACTGAAGGTCACTGGTATGGCTGGCATGTGCTGTGTGCACGCATGTGTATCTACATGTGTGTTCAAGCATGTGGTGGCTACAAAGGTGTGGGTGTGAACATATGGTGTGTGCAAGCCCGTGGGTGGGCGTGTGTATGCACCCCTGTATGTGTGCCTGTGTGTGTGTGTGTGTGTGTGTGAGAGCATGTGTGGGTGTGTGCATGCACCCCTGTGTATGTGCCCGTGTGTTACCATGCCAGTGTAAGAATTATTGTGCTGAAGAAGGATGTGGTATGGGTCTGTGTATGCCCTGTGTGTGCCTGTGTGTGTGTGTGTGTGTGTGTGAAGGCATATGCTTAAGGTGTTAACACGCACCCCACTGTGTATGCCTGTGTGTGTGTGTGTGCATTAACGAGAGAAGCATGTGGCAGGTGGCTAGCCACGCACCTGTATATGTATGCCAGTATAAAGGTGTGTGTGCGTGTGAGCATGTGTTATGGTGTGTGACACTTACCCCTACCTGTGCCATATGCCCGTGTAGGGGTGTGTGTAAGTGTGACATGTGTGGAGTCATGTGCACCTGTGTATGTGCCTGTGTAGAAATTGTATTGTGTGAGAGAGACAGGATCTTGTTTTCAGGTGTCTGTCTGCACACCCCCTGTGTGTAATGCCCATGTAAGGAATTGTGTGTGCTGTGCGTGTGAGCATGGTATGGGGGTCTGTATGCCACCTGTGAATGTGCTGCTGTGTGTGTGTGTAGGAAGGGCAGGATCATGACCTTAGGTGTAGCCACTTTGTGTATGTGCCGATGTGAGGGTGTGTGTGCGTGTGAGCGTGGTACATGGGAGTGTGTATACCACATGTATATGTGCCCGTGTAGAGTGTGTGTGTGTGTGTGTGTGTGAGCATGTGGTATGGGTGTGTATGCACCCCTGTGTATGTGCCCGTGTAGGGGTGTGTGTGCGTGTGAGCACGTGGTATGGAGTGTGTATGCACCCCCTGTGTATGTGCCCATGGAGGGTGTGTGCCGTGTGTGAGCATGTGTGGTATGAGGTGTGTATGCACCCCTGTGAATGCCTGTGTGTGTGTGTGTGTGTGAGGGCAGCATGGTATGGGGGTGTGGCGCATGCCTGTATGTATATGTACATGCAAGCATGGTGTGGGCCGTATGCGTGCACCGTGTATGTGTCTGTGCTGTGTGTGTGTGAGGGCTGGTGTATGTGTGTCCTCGTGTACAGTGCATGTGAAGCACGTGGTGTGGGTGTGTGTCTGTGCCCGTGTCTGTGTAGTTGTGTGTGGGAGACCGCATGTGGCATGGGTGCGTGTCGCCCTTGTATGTATTGTAAGCATGAGGCCTCTGCATATGAGAAGCAGAGGAAAAGCTGCAGATCAAGGCAAACCCCTATCCTATCCTGACAGTGAACCAAGCAAACCAACCCGTCTTCTTTCCCCAGAGGCTGAGGCCACTGGTGGGATTTCCACAGAGGAGGCTGAGGCGTCAGGTTTGTCTCTGACACTGAAAAGGTTGCTGGAAACTGGCTGCAGGGCAACTGCCCCTGCATGTGCGGGCCCACCTCCCATGTCCCCTGGCCTGGGTTGTGTGTGTGTGAGAGACAGCATGTGGTATGGGGGTGTGTACATGCCTGTATGTATATGTACATGCAAGCATGTGGTGTGGACGTATGCGTGCACCCCGTGTATGTGTCTGTGCTGTGTGTGTGAGGACGGGTGTATGTGTGTCCTCGTGTGCACAGTGCATGTGAGCACGTGGTGTGGGTGTGTGTCTGTGCCCGTGTCTGTGTAGTTGTGTGTGGGAGACCGCATGTGGCATGGGTGCGTGTCTACGCCCTTGTATATGTGTGTGTAAGCATGAGGCCTCTGCATATGAGAAGCAGAGGGAAAAGCTGCAGATCAAGGCAAACCCCTATCTATCTGACAGTGAACCAAGCAAACCAACCCGTCTTCTTTTTCCCACAGGAGGCTGGGGGCCACTGGTGGATTTCACGAGGGAGGCTGAGAGCGTCAGGTTTGTCTCTGACACTGAAAAGGTTGCTGGAAAGCAGCTGCGAGTGGCCTGCCCCTGCATGTGCGGGCCCACCTCCCCACGCTCCCCTGGCCTGGGTCTTGCTTTCTCACACCATCATGAGCTCCCTTCTTCCGGGCTGCCCCTGCCATTTCAGCCCATTCTGACCCCTCCTCTGAATTTCCCAGGCCTTAGGCAAGCACCCAAAGCATATCATCAGGTGCCACAAGGCACAGGGCCCCAGGCCGACACCTGGAGCTGGGGTGGGGTGAGAGCTGTGGAGGAAGAGGGGGCAAGAGGTGAGCAAGACAGCTCCTGTCCTGGGGGAGGACGCGGCTCAGTGCAGACACAGGTGCCCACAGTGAGGAGCTGGATGAGAGAGCTGCAGGATGGTCAGCTGTGGTGCTAGAGGCCTTCTGAGGAAAGAGGGGTGGGTGGCCAGGGCCAGGGGGCCAGGAGTGGGGCCAGGAAGCGCAGGACTGTGGGGCAACTGCTGGCTGTCTCCAGTGGAGAACCGGACACATGAGGGGGGTGAGTCACTCCGAATCAACTAGCTCAACACCTCAGTGCATATTTACAGGCCTCCTTCATGCCAGGCCTGGACCATGGAGAGGAAGCCACTTTCTGTCCCCAAGGAGCTCAAATCTGGTGGGAAAGGAGCCACTGGAGTAGACAGAGGTGAGTTTGGCTGCTCAGCACTGGAACCCCTTCCTACTGGGGACAATCCCAAGATGTGGGGATCTGGGCCCTGTCACTGTGGGGGCCCAGGGGAGGTAGCTCCCTGGTAGCTGGCATGTGGCCATGAGGCCTGGGCTTGGCCGGTTGGGTGCTCCGGCCCCAGACTTCAAAGTTCCTTCAGGAGTGCAAAGACAGTGATGACCGTGTTGGCTGTGATGAACTTGCAAAGCTATGCTCCCCCAGGACCTGGGCAGGCTCTGCCATAAGTGGCATTTATCATAGGCCTGACATATCCATGCGTCTGTCCCAGTCAGGGCCTGGGATGCCAACCACAGGACCCAGTTCTGACAGCGAAGCAGAAAGGTATATATTGGAGGCTGGTGAACGAGGCTGGGAATTGGGGCAGGAATTGAGGCAGTGCAGCCAGGTCCATCACAGAGACAGTCCCCCTGGGGTCCTACACAGGCACAATCTGCCCCGGGAGCCTGCTGCCCTCCATTCCCAGCCAGCAGGCAGCCCTGGGTTCCAGGAGTGGGTGGCTCTGCAGCTACCATGAGACCACCCCCTACTCTCTATCCATTCAGAGGCCCTGGCTGACTGGCCTCCACTGGGGGTCCTGGGGAGCTGGATGAACAGCTGTTGTGGGGTGTGGGGAGGGGCTGGCTGGGAAGAGGCCGAGTGAGCAGCCTCAGGCCTTTGGCATCTAAAGCTGCAGATCCACAAGAACGGTGTGCTTTGGAAACAGAAGGGCCACAGGGACCTGGACGAGGAAATGGTATTCCTCCATAAGGGACGAGGAGCCCGACAGCCACAGATGCAAACCCAAAGCCTAAATTCTCATGTGCTCATGAAACCTCACTTTGTTGTATTCTTCCTGGAGACCTAATCTTTCCAAGATCTGGCCAGCTACGGCTTTGGGAGTCAGCCACCTGCACCAGGTGACAGGCTGGCTTAGAGAAGGAGTGGAAAGAGATTCAGGGAGAACCGGGGATAGGGGCAGGCAGGAGAGAGTCACAGGAGACGGGTAAACACGGGTCTCCTCCTCCTGCTTCAGTAAAAGCCATTATTTCCCAAGAATTCTGAGAGCCATAGTCCCAGCAAATAAATCAATAGTTTTAAAGGATTTGCAAGAATTAGTGAACCAGAGCCGGGAGTACAATCAGTTTAGTTACCTAGGTAAAGAGGGAAATGAAATGGAAACCCCAGATGCCAGGAGCTAATGGCAGCTCAGAACACTGCAAATCCCATCCAGGGAGGAGTCACAGCTGGGAGGATGTGGGGTTAGGAGAGAGGGGAGAAGAGAGAGTGTGTGTGTGAGTGTATGAGTGTGTGTGTGTAGAGACCCCTCCCCTCTCTGCCCACCCTGTTCCCTTCATGGTCTTCCAGGAGTAGTATCTGCCCCTGGTTCTCTGTGCCCACCCCTCCTGCCCATCCTGGCCCGGGTCAGTTTAGGACAATACACCTGCCTTCTGCCATTTCAGGGGGGGTAAAAGCCCAAGAGTCATTTCTAGTTTTTCATATTTCTAACGACCTTTTAAGATGATACAAGTAATCTCCACATCATTATAGGAATATTAGAAAATCTTTACAGGCATGAAACAAGAAAGTGGAATTGTGCCCTCCAGGTGATCCGCCCCCTGCCGCAGGCCCTGGCGCAGAGTCAGGGGGTCAGGTCTGCCTTAGAAGGCCTGTGTCAGGCCTGGGGGTCGGGGGGATCATGCAACGGCGGGGAGTCAGCCCCTCATCCTGCCAAGGGTGGCACACTGCTTTGGTGCCCACATGTAGCAGACACGGTGCCCAGCACGCCCCCCGCCCATCACACCGGTCGGCGAGTCCATGTTGTGCCCCAGACTGTGAGGAGGCACCCGGCCTGGTTCCATGAGGTCCAAGAAAGAACCAACAGATGGGCTGTACTGACACCCCCCTCCTCCCAACCCCCAGGTTGTGCCTGGTCTCCCCTCGTCCCAGGCCAATCCCTCCTCCTGGGTGTGTAATCTCTGTCCGCTGAATCCTATCTTCCAGTTAGCCTGCCAGCTCAGGCAGGTGGAGCCGCCGCCTTTCCCTCCCCCGATACTCCCAGAGCCCTATGCAGCCTCTGACACTCACTGGGCTCCACGTGACGATCGACATGACTGAGACCCCAGATGCAGGAAGGAGAGGCCTGACTGAGCACACGGCCCATGCTCCAGGGCCTTCTGGCTCAATTCTCCCTGCGTGGGACCATTCATGTGTCCCTATCATTTCGGCTGAGCTTCCGGTTTTACTGACACCCATCTCTGCCTGGGTCCCTCCCCATATGTATTTAACTTGACAGTCTGTTTTTCTTGGGAAGCAGAACCTACCAGATTCTGTGATAATACCACGGCCCTGTTTTTACAAATCCACTGGACACAGTTACCCAAGAGTTGCTGTCCTGCACTGGCGTGGCCAGGCCTGTGTACTCAGTTGCAGCCCCGGGTTCTGGGGGCCTCAGCTCTAAATGAGCCGGGCACCAGCCACTGTGCTCAGAGGCTGACCGGGGGTGGCAGGGCAGCCACACGGTGGGGGGGGGGACCATCCCCTAGGTGAACACAAACGCTGAGAAGGACCAGTCTCCCCAGCAGGCTGTGTCCAGCACTGGCCACGGGCGCGGCTTATGGGGCAGGGCCCCCACTGTGCGCCAGGCCCTGTGCAGGGGGCAGAAGTGATGCGACAACCTGGCTTTCTGCCCTCTCAGAGCCTTCTCTGCATGTACAGTTATCCATTCAGTGGGGCAGGACTGTGCAGAAGGGAAACGGAGGCTGCGTGGGAGCCTGGAAGAGGAGGGTGGCACCTAGGCTATTCCCTCCGCCTGGGAATTCCTTCGTCCTCGTTCAGAAAACATCTACCGATTCAGTAAGATCAGCTGCCACTCTGTGGTCCCACCACACTTGGCTCAGCACTCTGCTGAGTCTGTTTGCTTCTCTCTGGACCGGGGGTGGCTCATGGACAGGGACTTCCAGCACTGAGCACCCAGCAGGGGCAGAGAGGCGTCTGCTGGCTGAGTGAATGACCCTGACCAAATGGGAAGAGAGGGGCCTTCCTGGCCTGGGGGCACTGAGATGCTGCAGGCTGGCCGCGTGGGGGTCGTCACCAGCTGAGTCTGCAGTCCCCTGTAGTCACACAGGACCAGGTCCTCCTAGACTCCACAGTCCCCAGCCCAGGGATGAGGAAGGTGCTGCTCGGCCTGACATGGGAGTGGCCACTGCCCACCAAGGGCCACGACCTTCCTGCTCAGCTCAGCCTTGGTGGTGAATCATGCTGCCCCTGCTGTGCCACTTCCAGGCTCTCTGGGCTCCCACGCTCTGCTGCGGAGGCCCAGGCTGGCTCCCTCTCAGGGTGAGTGCTGCTTCTGGAGGGTGGAGGTGAGGGGAAGGGACTAAGGGTGGCCCTGAGGGGCCTTGCTGGAGCAGCAGTGGGGACCACACACATCTGAGGGTCTGGGTAAGTGGGGGCTGCAGCCAGGCCTGGGGCAGGCTGGGGACAGCCTTTTCCCCAGCCTGGCTGGCCTGGGGGATCGGGAGGGTCTGCGAATCAAGCTCTGGGACTCCTTGAGGTTCCAGGAAGAACCCCGCCTGTCCCAGCAAAGGTGGATCCAGGAGAGGAGTGGGCTTGGCCACCTCGGCTGCCACCAGAAGCTGCCCCTTCAGCTCCTATCTGTTCCCCTCTGCCCCTGGAGCTTCTGAAACCACTTCCCTCCTCCCTGGACTTCTGCAGGCCAAGGTATGACTGCTCTGTCTCCCGTTAGCAAGGTCTGCAGCATTGCTCTGAGCAGCATCCTCCAATGCGGTGCACCTGTTCGACAGGGGTGCACAGGTAGGCGCTGGGGCAGGGGAAGTCATGGACTTGCTCACCACTCCGAAAAGCTCTCACTCCTCAGGAAAGCTCTCAAAAGCAAAGCTCTGCACCCCAGTGCCTAGCATAGCTTCTGGCCTCAAGCAGGTTTCAGGTAAGGTTTGAATGAGTGATTGAGGGAAACAGGTGCTGGCTTGGAGAAGGTGCTGTGGGATAGAAGGCACTGAGCTGGGTCTTGAATGGACAGGGTTTGAGCCATCAGCCATGGAGGAAGGGCCGTCCACAAGCAGAGACTCAAGGTAGAGAAGCACAGAGTGACCAGGGATGCTACAGCTGGGCCAGCTGGGTGGGGGACGATGGAGGGAAGATGTCAAACAGGGAGGAGGAGAAAAAAATTACGCAGAGAGGGGCAGGACCCTGGCAACAATTGCACTGAAGTGCTTTAGACATTTCCAGAAATCCAGTGTTCTTCTCCCCTGGGCAGCGCCTACAAGGGAAAGCAAAAGCCTGCAAGCTTCGGGGTCGTTCAGTGCCTGGCCCTCTCCTGGCCTGGAAAGAGGAACAGAGGAAGGCCAGCAGGGCTGGGTGGTCTCCCGATCACAAGTATGCATTTCCCAGGCATCTGGGCAGTGATGGAATTGTCAGCCTGGAAGTCACCTCGAAGGAGAAATGACCGTGTACCTCAGACAGAACAGACCCCAGGCCTCAGTGTGGAGCACTCACTACCCAAGAGCTCAGGGTCCTAGGGGTGGAGTCCAGGGCCACTGGGTGGCAGGGCCAGGAGGAGCAGCCGGGTCTACACAGGATGGCACCGTGCAGTGGTGGTGATGCTGAGCAGGGCCCAGTGAGTGCTTGCTGGGTGATCGCCGCGGGCTGGCATGGCACTGGCACTTCACACTCCTCATTGCTTTTGAGTTTTGGGAGAGGTGAGGTGACCTGCCCAGTGGAGGAAGGCTGATCTGATCTGACATAGGCCTGTCCTGTCTCGCGTTGGTTCCTGGCCTGTGTACTGGGCTCACCTGGAGGCTTTAAAAATATACAGAGGCTCAGGCTTCACCCCCCAAGTTTCTGATTCACGAGTATGTTTTTGCCTTTTTGTTCTCACTCCCGAAGTGTCCAGATCTGTGCTCAGAGCTCAAAGAAATTCACTAAAAAAATATAAAATTAAGGAACAACAGCTCAAAGAGCCAGCAATTTATGCAAATGAATGCAAATAAATACACACTTCCATACATATGTTTATGCAAATATTCTTGTGGTCCTTGCAAATCACTCACCCGCCTGCAAGCAGCCACCTACGAATTCTTGGTGAGAACCCTGGGCAGAGTGCCTGGGTTAATGACAGGTGGTATCACGACCTCCCAGAACAGACGTCTCTATTAGCAAACTCATCCCAGAAGTCCCCCAGGGAACCTCACTGAGCCTGGCTCTGCCCACCACAACCACCTCCCCTACTCACTCAGGACTCAGGACTCTTTCAAGGCCATTGGCCAGGGAGGAATTGGGAGCAACTGTCCAGCAGGCACTCTAAGGCCACCAGGGCTGGGCAGAGAGAGAGGGGCCCTGGCAACTGCCAGGTGCCTGATCGCTGCTGGGAGGACAGCTGTGACCACTGAGGGTTGGGCTGCCTTTACCTCTGTGCCAGTCTGGGTGGGCCAGCTTGTGGTTGAGCACTTGGTCTTGGGTGCTCCACATGCGCTGTCTGCCTGACCACACCCTACGGCTCACTTTCATAAAGCAGGAGGCACTGGACTTCAGAAGGAAACTCACCCAGTCACGATCAGAGGAGAGTTCCCCATGCCTATTTCCTCAATGGACGCTCCTTGCATATCCAGCACTCATTTGCAACCCCTTCTGCCAGGCTTTGTGGAACAGTCATGATCTCCATAACTTCAAGGCACCCTCGCTTTGTTGCCTCCAGGATAAGCAACTTCTGCAACCTTCTGGCTTTTGGCCTTGGTCCCCGAGAAAGACTGAGAGGAACTGCTCTCTTCCCACAGGGTCACCGCACACTGTCCTTCCCGAGCTGAGGCTGGGCACACTTCCCTAGTTGCTGCCTGGGGCAGAGGGAGCTTGGCAAGGGGGTTGGGATGCGGCTCTGAAGATCCACCCGAGACCCTTGCCCTGGTTTCGGGGATCGTAGCTCAGCCTGTCTTAGACAGCCTTGGAAAAAGCACATGCAACTTGTTATTTCTCTAGTTGCTGCATCTGGGATGTGGATGCCGTCATCATTTGGGAGGCTCTGGGAAGCTCGAATGTGAGCCCCCTGAGGGCAGGGAGGTTGGCTTGTTATGCAGGGTAGGTGCTCAGTACAGTTTTGTTGACTGATGCGTAGAATGAGTTTTTCCTCTGCAACACCTATGCCTCAATATTTTCTCCAGTTGTCCTTGTGACTTCATGCACAACTTGGGGTGAGGTGTGGGCCTGTCCCACCATGGTACTCACCTCCAAGAGGGCAAGAATGGACAGTGTCCCCCATGGACCCAGTATACAGCTCGATGTGGAAAAGGTTATTGATATGGTTTGGATATTTGTCCCCTCCAAATCTCACGTGGAAATGTGTTGGAGGTGGGGCCTGGTGGGAGGGGTCTGGGTTATGGGTGCAGACCCCTGGTGAATAGCTTGGTGCACCTCTCACTGTCTTGAGAGGCCTCTCCCTCTATTAGTTCATGCTAGGCCTGGTTGTTTAAAGAAGCATGGTGCCCCTTCCCTTTCTCTTCCGTCTACCCTCACCTTGTGATGCCTGCTCCCCTGTGCTCTCCACCATGAGGGGAGCCTGACCACACCCTATGGCTCACTTTCATAAAGGAGGCGGCACTGGACTTCAGAAGGAAACTCACCCAGTCATGATCAGAGGTAAGTGCCCCATGCCTATTTCCTCAATGGATGCTCCTTGCATATCCAGCACTCATTTGCAGCCCCTTTAGAGGCCTCTCCCTGAGGCCTCTAAAGAAGCAGATGCTGGTGTCATGCTTCCCGTACAGCCTGCAGAGCCATGAGCCAAATCAACCTCTTTTCTTCATAAATTACCCAGCCTTAGGTCTTCCTTTATAGCAATGCAAAATGGACCAAGATAGTTCCCTAGTTGAAAAGGTAAGTTCATTTCAGCATGGGTCTCACTTTTGGCAGGGGTACTGGTGGTAGGGAGACGACAGAGGGGTGTCAAACCCTTCAGGCCATGATGGAAATTCAGTGACTAGTGTCCTACTGGGCACCAGAAGTCAGTTCAGGTATGACTCTGTCTCACCAAAGGCCTGTGACAGCAACTTTTCAAGCATAGAAATCTCTGGGCCCTGGTGACAACACATCCCTCCAAACCCTGGGCCCCTGGTGGCAACCCAGCCCTTCGAGTTGTAACACACGGTGGATTCCAGTCCAGTGGAGAGAAATCTGCCATGTGGTGTTGGGAGACAAGCCTGGCCTCACTGTCCTCACTCCCAGTTCTTGTTGGTCCAACTTTTCAGGAAGAAAAAGAGCTCTCACACTCAGAACATGCCCTGTCTGAGTACCAGAGGCCCTAGCTCAGCCACCAGCCACCCGAGTCACCACCCAGGCATGGGAGCGAGACCCAGGCCATCGGGAGCACTATCTCCGTGTACTCTTTTTTTTTTTTTTTTTTTTTTTTGCCTCCTGCTGGTCCCAATCTTTTGCGGAAGAAAAGAGCCTTCACTCAGAAGGCTCTGTCTGAGCAACTGAGGCTCCTGGCTTCAGTTGACTCAGCCACCTCATAGAGCCACCTGAGGTAAGGATGACCTGCAGCTGCACGGAGCACTATTCTCCGTGGGTTTTTTTTTTTTTGAGACAGAGTCTCGCTCTGTGGCCCAGGCTGGAGTCCAGTGGCGCAATCTTGGCTCACTGCAAGCTCCACCTCCCAGGTTCATGCCATTCTCCTACCTCAGTCTCCTGAGTAGCTGGGACTACAGGTGCCCGCCACCACGCCTGGCTAATTTTTTTGTTGTTTTAGTAGAGACGGGGTTTCACCGTGTTAGCCAGGATGGTCTCGGTCTCCTGACCTCGTGACCTGCCTGCCTCGGCCTCCCAAAGTGCTGGGATTACAGATGTGAGCCACCGCACCCGGCCCTCTCCGTGCACTTTTAAAAGACCATTTTATTATTTAATTACCTCAGGCTGGCCCTTTACCTCCTCAGCTTTTCTGGGCTGTTTGGGAGATTCCCTGTGGCTCCTGTCACTCCATGGTTGTGGGAAAAGGGAAAAAGGAGATAAAGCATCTCCTTTGGAGGGGAAGGGCAGTGATTGGCCCTGGAGCCTCCTGGCTGGTTGGTGAGGTTGGCCCTGCCAGTGACTCTGGGGTCTGTCCCATGGCAGGCTACTGTCTTGAGGGACTGGCCCTCATCCACATGCCAGCCCTGGGCACAGCGGGTGCTGCCCTCTCCTTTGTGGAAAACTGGCTGGAAGGGGAGAGGTGCAGCGAGGGCCCACTGGATCCTTTTTTATGGTCAGCCGGACTCATCAAATCGATGGCAAACAAACCCAAGACTGTTAGGAAACATCTATCCCTGCCTCCTGGCCCTGGGTAAACATGTTCTGTGTGGTGATCTTGCTCAGGACCCAGGGACCGAGGGGGGGCCCACCCAGGATCTAGTCCAAAGCCCAGAAGCCAGAGACAGAAGCAAACTCAGAATTTACATCTACCGCTCAGAGCTTAAAATTTAGAACCCAAAGCCCCAGCCAGAGCCCAATGTTTGACACAGTTCAACCAGAGGCTGAAGTCGACCTAAAATCCTGGCGCTGAGACACCTGGACAGAGTCCCGAAAACCCTCCCTGCCCCAGTGTGCTGGAAAGTTCCTTTTGCTGCCTTGAGCCCTCTGATTGGCACCTGACAGTATGCATTGTATTAATTATGGTCAGAGCTTTTCAACATGCAATAAAAAGCTTTTTAAAACGTTCCGATGGGAGGTGATTAACTCTATTAAGTGGCATTATGGATCTTTCTATCTGTTGCTTTCATAAACATAGTTGTAGGCGCAATGTTTTATTATGGGCATAAAAATGTCCCGCATTACAATGCATAAGCGCATATTGATGTTATATTTCTTTAGTGTGCTATGTGCCTCAGTCCCCAACCACTCGGAAAAGAAACTACACGTCTTAATAATTTATGTTCCAAGTTTTAACCAGGATTATCAATGGCAGCTTTTGAGCTTTCTCTTTTGGCAACACAATACATCATAGTAAAAATGCACCGACAAGCGATGTGTCCGTTTGATTTTTTCCACCTGAATCAGCAGCCCAAACTCCAGACACAGCAGTTTAGGGCAACCAGCACACTGAAGAATTTAAGTCTAAGCATTTAATCTGTTCTTTCCATAAATTTCTGCTGCTTGTGCTTTATAATGATTCTACCAGAGGAAGTTTATTTATATCGCAGATTTTCAGCATCAGCACATTGAGAACACAACGGCAATCGCTCAGTCAATAGCTTACAGCCATGTATAATATCACTCCGGAAATCAAAAGCCCATTTGGAGAAAAGGAGGCTCAGATTAAAGTCACTTTAAGACATCAATAACTTGGAACTGGCTGAAGAGAAGTTATAAATATCCAGGGTGCGCATATGCAAATAGGCGCTCACAGACGCGCCACCTCCGCGCGCCCGCCCGGGAACCTCCCGGTGGTCCCCTCCCCGGCGCACGTGACGGCAGGGCCGCGGGGCGGGGCGGGGCGGGGCGGGGCGGCCCTAGTGGACGCGTCACCACCTCCTTCTCCTGCCGGGCACAGGCAACCCCGCCCCAGCCCGCGGGGACCCGAGGGGTCTAGGACTGCGGCGTAAGGCAGGCGAGGAGGGGATCCCTACCTGGAAACCCCAATAAGCTCAAGATAACAAGCACACTTCTGGTTGCTTGCTAATGGTCCAGAGGGGCGCTTTGATGACCCCCGCCTCGTGCCTGCAACCATCTATCTCACTCCATAGCATTCGTCCTCAGCTGAGGAGTTTGGGGAGTGGTAGTGGCCAGGAGCAGGGCGGGGCAGGCGAAGCCCAGCACTTTGAAACGCTTCCTCCCACCTGCCACCCTCTCGGAAACCAGACCGCTGATGAGATCC